GGAGTGAGGGACCGTCCGCCGAATTGCCGCCGAATAGCTGGACATGCCGCCCCTCTCCGGAGTGGCCGCCCCAAGCACCTGCTTGCCAAGCTGGTGCCTGGAGCCGGCCCTGCTGACACATGATGAGACCACTAACCCTGTATGTTTCCCCTGATCCCAAATGGCCACTCTGTTCAAGGAGCCCTGTCCCTTAACAGCCTCAGTCCCTTTCTTTTTGGCCTATGTGGGTGAGAAACAAAGGCAGCTGTGGGGGGGAGGGAGGGGGCTGTGATAGCCACATATGCTGACTTAGCGCAGGTCCCCTTGTCTCCCGGGAAGTGGCTGCTCCCAGAGACACATGTAAAGGGGATTGGGTCTCTGCGTTGCCCCTTTAGGGCATGTCTACACTGCCATTAAAAAACCACAGCTGGCCTCTGCCAGCTGACTTGGGCTAAGGGGCTCGGGCTAAGGGACTGTTTTATTGTGGTGTAGACACTCGGGCTGGAGCCCGGGTTCTAGGACCCTGCGATATGGGAGGGTCCCAGAGCTCAGGGAATGTCTGCACCACAATTAAACAGCCCCTTAGCCCGAGTCAGCTGGCACGGGCCAGCCATGGGTGTCTGAACTGCAGTGTAGCCAGACCCTTAGAGCCCATAGTGTCCGTACTGTATGGATGTGGACTTGGCTTGTTATGCTGATTGCTGCTGCCCTCTTTGGGAGGTTCGATAGGAGCCTAGAGCAGAAGCCAGGCAGGGCTCTGAGGCTGCCTGGGGGAGACAGAGCCAGTTTGGGATCTGACCTACAGCCCGACATCCAGGGAAGTCTTCCCGAGACAGAGCCTGCCAGCTCCCTCTGCGCTCAGCCGACCGGGCTTCTGCTCTTGGGGCTTTAGGAGCCGGAAGAGTTGGGGCCCCGAGCTCCTTTTTTGGAAAGTCTGATGACTGTAGGGTTTAAGGCTGGTAGGAAAAGGCTGGCTGGCTGGCTGCGGGGATGGGGGTTACCGGCTTGCAGCTTTAAGTCACGGGTTCAGATCCTACCTGGAGTGGTAATGATGTTGCATTATTGCCTACTGGTGGCTGCTCATTGGCCTTTGGCGATGTGGCGGTGGTGGGTCTCTGTACAGGTTGTGGCCATGTGAACACATCATAGGGCACTAAGTGACTTTCTTTACTGTGGCTAAAGGCTGAAAATGGGCCAGAGCGACTGACCTCCTTGAGCTGCCCTAGAGAGGGATGTTGCCCCTTTGGCCCAAGTGGTAGCCATATCCAGAGCCTTGCAGGGTTGTTTCTGTCAAGAGGAGAAATCGATGCTGTGACTCAGGTCGGTTGTTGGTGGGATCTGGTTTATTTACAAAGAACGTGCATGCAGGCCCGTCCCCCTGAACACCGCAGAAACTAGGAGCAGCAGGCAGGTTTCTCGCTCAGAAATCCCCATGCCTGCCCCTCCAGCGAGCTCTGTGCCCAAGAAGCTCCATCTCTCTGCTTGATGCTTCCTCTCAAGATCAGGCTCACGGCTCCTTCTCCTGGCTCTCTGCCTCCAACACACACACCCCACAACCTCCCAGCTCCTGCATTTGCAAGCAGGGAAACCCCTCAGCTCACACGGATTGCCATGTGGCCTGTTGCTTTGGGCGGTCTCCCATGTTGCCTGCATCTGTCTTTAGGCTTCATTGCGCCCATTGAGCCTAAAAGAAGGGTGTTTAGCATCCATTGCCTTTAACAAGGTCAGTACTGATCTTTGGATTAA